TCCTAAGAGCATCATTTTCTTCCAGATTCACAGCATCAGTGAAAGCTCAGCTGTCGTAAGCTTTTGTTGAAAACTCTGGCCCCATCATGGCTGGACCACTGTAACGATCTCCGCTAAGCACATCCCAACAACCCTACTATCTCAACTTCAGAGAGGCTGCATGACTCCATTACGCCTTCCAGATGCTCAAACCACACCTCTGCAACCTTGCAATCCCCTGCCTCGTTACCAGTGAAACAGCGCATTGAATACAAAATTATGCTTCTTACTCAACGACTGCATCTATTCTCCAATGACATTGGCATATCCTGTTGGCTCGACTGACTGACTGACTCCAGTTTAGTTTTACGCAGCTTTTAGCAATATTACAGCAACATCACGGCGGGGGACACCAGAAATGGGCTTCACACATTGTACCCATGTGGCGGGATCTCGAACCCGGGTCTTCGGCGTCACGAGCCAACGCTTTAACCATTAGGGCTACCCCTTAACCGCCCCGTTTGGCTCGATGCATCCTAAACGTCATCTTACGTCAGTTAAGGAGGTTTGTGTTATAAAAGTAATGAAATTATATATAATACTGATTTTGTTTCTTCCATTTTGACGCCTGTGACCGATAAGATTCTGGACAAACATGGCAAAGCATCCGGAGCTCGCTTTCGAAATCTTTACCTTTGCACGTTCTCCTCATTGCTCTTGGTGGCTTAGGGTTTGTTGCCTCCAAATCTGTTGAGTGACATTGTTAGAGTTCACGGTGTTGTTGCTAGGAACACAGACACTCTGACACTCTTGGCAGTGCAGAAAGCCCCTGTGTTTCGGAGTCTGATTGGACTGAACGGCATTGCCTGGGAGAAGTCCCGTAGGCAGTCTGGATTGCCTGTAAGCAGGATAAGGACCCTGAGCTAATGCAGTCCTTAACAAGCATGACAGTTCCAGGATCACCCGAACCATCTTTGCTGCTTACATATAGACTTTGCGGTGAAAATCATCAACCAACCGAAACAAATCGCATTTTAATCATTAAGCAATCTGTGCTGGCCATAACAGGCGACTTAACGATTTACGAGGTCAGAATTGATTTGTTCATTATATCACCCACTCAGTTTACTTGATCATTTTACAAGACGCAAACTAATAGTCGTTAACAGCAAACCCAAACTAAAAAAAACAACAAAAACAAATTTAACTGAAGGAATGCTTAATTCTAATACGACCCACACATGAACTGCTTGTTCTACCCTGTATGTCCAGTGTTTGACTATCCTATAGTAGTAAGTAACGAAGTGAGTAAAGACACCATGAACCTTTTAGCAAACATTATTTGAGTTCATCAAGGTATGTCTGTGACTCCGCATATAGTTATGAACAAGCATACTAAAAGCCAATGGTATGGCACTTTGTTTGAACTGACATTACCAGTACAACCCTGACCTGGTTTAATGTTTCCAATCGCTCGATTTACAAAGAGACGTTAGAGTGCGTCTTAGTTGAGCTGTACTGAGTTTGGAAAGCCTTCTGTTACCCTTCAAGTGCAAGCGTCACAGACAAATGAAAGGGGTGCGCCGTGGCGACGCTTCAAGGCGTATGTATTTCGCCATGCTCTGTACATATTTCGCAACGTTGTTTTTTTTACATGTGTTGCAAGTCGTGTTCGACCAGGCAACGCAGTAATAAGATATTTATCTGTTGTCCTTTTAGTTCACGGAGAGTGACACCCACGCGCACACACACACACACACACGCACGCACGCACGCACGCACGCACACACACACTCACACACTCACACACACACACTCACACACTCACACTCGCCACGCACGCACGCACGCACAGAGAGAGGGAGGGGCCTCAGGCAACACACATGTAAGAAAGATAAGGGATCAGCATCAAACACATAACAGACATGAGTCATTGTTTTCAGTTTAAATGAAGGAGTCAGTATCGAGTATGTTCCCCACCACGTGCTCCCGCAACTGTCTGGCAACGTATGGGCATACTGGGATACCACGTCACTCGTGCTGGAAACACTGAAAATTTCATCTAAAATTTCGTGGCGAAAGCCCACGAACACGAACACACATCCCATAAATGTCCAATAGGGTTTATTTCCAGACTTTGGAGCCGGCCAAGGCAACTGGCTTGCTGTGTTACTGTTCCTTAGACAATCAGCTGATACATAATCCGTGTGGGGACGAGGCATTGTTCTGCTGGAGCTTAAACCGCCGCCCTGTTCTCCTTGCAAACGGTTCTACCACAGGACGGAGGACTTCATCACGGTATCGCACTCCTGTCAAAACGTCCACAATACGAATGAGTTCCACAATGCAATGAGCTCGGTTCTGTTATCGTAGGTGATCCGCCCCATACAATGCCTGACCAACCACCGTATCTGTCATGCTGTTTGGTGGTGCTATGCTGATACCTTTCATTTCGGCGTCGCCAAACCAGTACCCTGACATCTGCATAGTCCAGATTGAATCTGGACTATCACTGAACATGATGTAACGCCAATGACGTTGCTGTCTTACACCATGCCGCCGGACTCATTTCCTGTCTCCATTGCTTGATGTTGCTGCGCCATTCTACTGCCGACAACGGGTCGTTACTTTTCACACCTGCTGCTTTGAGCCTGTTTCGTACTGTTCGGTCACAAACCTGTACTTGTGTGGCTGTCCTGAGCTCAGCCTTTATCTCGGATGCTGGTTGAAAGCGATCCTGTAGGCGCGAACACCGTATAATCATTCGGTCAAGGTGTGGTCTTCTTAGGTCAGCGCAACATCACCAGTCTGACATTAGAGGTTCCATAGTCGAGATAAGACTCTCATTGACTTGCGTCCTGCAACTCACCATACAAATTGCCTGCCATTTTTTTAGAAAATCCATGTACTGTTTTGCCATTTAAAGCAAATTTTCAATGCTGACTTTAATCTGTATCTTTTAAGGCACACCCTTTATACCAGACAAAGGATGGAAAACCTCGAAGTGCCCGATTTTCATGAACCCATCTTATTGAATATGAAGCGTTTGGGCGCCAGGGTTTGCGTGATGTACAACACAACTATCATTGAAACCGTTAAGTCGTTCTCAAAGATAGATGCGATCCTCAATCCTTTATCTTTTTTACTTCAATATAATATAATAACATACTGGTTCTATACCAGAGGCTTATTGTTCACAAGCTATATACTTATTTTGCCTACCGATAAAATGCCACACTCGTGTTTCCGCAGGGCACTGATAATTTTCCTGCTGCTACTGGGGGCGTGTGCTGTGTCGGGTTATGGAGAATACCGGAAGCGCTCTTCCAAATGGCGAACGGGTCCCACATCCCTGTCGGGCCAACTTCTACTGGCATGGCGTGGGTCACATCAACGCTCTTGGTGGAGAAACCGAAACGACTTTGGCACAGACTTCGCTTCTCAAGGCCACGTGGTATATATATTTTATATTTATCTATTTTGTGAGACAGTTGTCATAATATCTCCATATCCGTGATGGGATTCGAGTGAGTGAGTTTAGTTTCATGGCGCTTTTAGCAATATTACAGCAATATCACGGCGGGGGACTACCAGAAATGAGCTTCACACATTGTACCCATGTGGAGACTCGAACCCGGGTCTTCGACGTGACGAGCGAAAGCCTTAACCACTTGACTACCCCACCGTCCCTAAAACCGTCTGAGCAAAATGTTTATGCCCTCAACACATATTAAAACAGATGCGCCCTATGTTCAAAACTGTTCAGCAAAATATTCACATCCTTATTTCTCAACACAGTTTAAGACAGTGTCATGTGTCATATGTTTACGTTTGAGCAAACTATTCATATCCTTATGTGGTAACACATTTTAAGACCAGGGCTCTGTGTTTGAGAAAACTTCTATTGTCTCATGACCATCAGTCGCAAAATGTACCTTGAAGTTTCTTTCTGTTCACAATGGGTTTTATTCTGTTTAAGTGGACACAAGATTTGTGCCGTTTAGATTCTGATGGTGACGGTATGACCAACGGTCAAGAGCTAGGTGACCCGAACTGCGTGTGGACTCCGCAGACAGTGGTAATCTCCCTTCACGGACAACCGACATTACTCACCCAGGTATACAATAGAAATCACATTGATTTCATCCGTATTGATATGCAGTTGCTTGTTTTGGAAATGAGGAAATGTGTCAAGGCTAAGTGGATCAATCAGTGGTACCCAATCAGAGGTACCCAATCAGTGGTACCCAATCAGAGGTACCCAATCAGTGGTACCCAATCAGTGGTTCAAATTGGTGACCGTGATATGGCGGGATGTTACTGAGGCGTAAATAAAACAGTCCTGTATGGAATCCTAGAAGGGACATTATCCCGTTGTCGCATTGTCGATGCAGATTTTAATGCATATTTTACACAACTTAGTTAGGGTGACGAATTGACAATGCGACATATTTGTAACCTGTCATTATGTCGCATGGTCGACCTATGGTTGAATTGAAAATATTCTTCAAACAGAAACAAATGGCTAAAATGTCGCGTGGTTGCATTGTCGCAAATTTTGCCACTTTTTGTTTGTTTTTGTCAGGGCGACAACGCAACAATGTCCCTTCTAGGATTCCATAGTCCTGATCACGGAAGGAACTATCCTGTGCCCTTTAAGAATATATATCTCCTCCCTTAGATGCACCAGGATCCGCTAATCGTCGCTGCAAATCTCATGTTCGCACAATGATAAATACAACTATTGAACATTTTTTCGCAAGTGTTTGACAAATTTAAACATTGACTTTGAAAAATGAGTGACTTTTAAATTCGCTTCAAGTTACTAGTATGATAATCAAATCTACATTACTATCAGCTGAGGACTGAATAACTCACTTCAAGCCATTTGATGAACGTTTGATTAAGCTTCGATGTACGGAATCTATAGCACCCAAAAATAGAACTCATCGTATGTGCATGTGCACACGTTCATATAATACCACTTCGGTTTATGGAGAACGACCTTCTATATATTCCAGGTGTGTGTGACCCTTTTGACTCCCCTGCCTGTCAAGCGAAGAATGCGTGGGTTTCGTGTAAAGGGTCAGAACTGGAGTGCGATGCTCTCAACGCACCAGGTAAATCGTTTTAGTTGCATTCCTGAATGTATGTGCAATGCTTTCATCGTTTACACGTGTCATGATTTAAGTGTGAAACGAAAGGTTATGTTGTATATCTGGACCCGCCAGGTAAGTATGCTTAGTCATTCATTCATTCATTCATTCATTCATTCATTCATTCATTCATTCATTCATTCATTCATTCATTCAGCCTTCAAAGATATGATGAACCTCACTCACCCTAATACCTACCCAAATAATGCACATAGTGTCGTTCTTAAGTCGTCATCTCACCTTCACAGATGTGAGGAACTTCACAATCCGTTTCCCCGAAACCGACGTGCCCGCCGAGGACACCACCTACATCTGCATGATCTTCGACGTCCCCTCTGACCAGGACTACCACTACATTGGAAGCAAGCCTCTCATCGACAACGAAAACGTCATGCATCATGTCGTAGTCTACGGCTGCTCTGACACATCAGGTACGTCGAACCAGTCTTTCAACTGAAACCAAATCCAGTGTATTCAGTGCAGTGATGATTATATCATAGGAACATTTTCTTTATGATTTGCAATGTCTGGGGATTCAGGTTATTAATCATAATGGCCGTAACCGGCGACATAATAGATCGGATGGTCAGCGTCGGTAACGTCGTTATATTGTTTCATCGTTGCTCATTATATCAACCATTGGTTCCTGATGGTGAGTGTGGCTCTGAGTGAAACAGCAAAGGTACAGAAATATGACCTTCTTAGAATCCCTTAAAAATGGTGAGCTGTATATATCTATTTTCTTTGCAGAGGAACTACCAACAGAACCATACAAATGTGGCATGGATGCTGGGAAGGGATGCACAGCGGGTCTAGGGGGCTGGACAGTTGGGTCTCCTGGAGAATGCCTCAATGACAACTTTGGACTAGTTTTCGGAAAATCAAGATACAAACGGTTTGCCCTGGAGGTACTAGTGACCAAATGTCTTTCATATATATTCATATTCATAATTCATAATATATCTGCTAGAAAGTGGTACCATCCCATCACATCACAATTTCCTTCCAACCTTGCCAAGATACACGGATACCAGTCCATTACATAACAAGTTCTTTCCAACCTTGCCAGGATACACGGATACCAGTCCATTACATAACGAGTTCTTTCCAACCTTGCCAAGATGCACGAATACCAGTCTATTACATCACAATGGCCAACAAGTATTCCAACGCGAGTACCGATATAAACCTATCACATCATACTCCTTTTTTCTCTTCCAATTTTAGCAACAACACTCCAGACCCCCATCCCATCCACCCCCACCCACACCCCACACACACACACACACACACCTTGGTGTTATTGTCATTTCCACCCTTCTTCAGTTTCCGGGTGGCGGGGTATCTTAGTGGTTAAAGCGTTGTCTCGTCACGCCGAAGACCCGGGTTCGATTCCCCACATGGGTACAATGTGTGAAGCTCCTTTCAGGTGTCCCCCACAGTGCTAAAAGTGGAATAAAAACTCACTCACTCACTCACTCACTCACTCACTCACTCCACCGTGTATTATTTTCATTTCCATTCTTTTTCAGTTTCACTGGAACAACCCGAACGAAGTGTCAGGCTGGAAGGACAGTTCAGGAATGACGTTCTTTTACACCCCCAACTTACGAAAGAATAATGGCTCACTCATGTCACTCGGACAGATGAACCTAGCAATCCCCCCTGGACAATCAGAGGTCACGTTCAGAGGAGAATGTACATCTGAATGCACACGAAAACTTATGACAGAGCCCATCTATGTCCCAACAGCCTTGAATCATATGCATTATTTAGGTAAGTAATGTAAATCTGAATGCTTGGTTGGTTGGTTGTTTAACACCGCATACAGCGGTTGAAACATGTTATCGTATCCGAATTGCGGAGATCGATGCTCATGCTGATGTCAACTGGATTGACTGGTCAAGACTCGATTATTTACAGAGCGCCGCCATATAGCTGGAATATTGCTGCGTTCAGCGTAAAACAACAAACCAACCCACTTAGCCCCTCTGGATTAATGTGCTAGATTATGACTTCGCTGCATTAAGCCTAATCGGACAACTTAAATCAGGAAAATCTTTCAGAATGAAATTACAACCCGCACCTCAAGCGACAAGTACGTTACGCACTGTCCTGTAAGATACCTGTACAAAGCTTCAATGCACGGGCCCTGAATTATTAAAGGGGTTCACGCCTTAAGGCAGATATGTAATATCGGATGAGATTTTCTGGTAAAACACAACTGAAACATTAAAGGTATGTAAAGATTGTGTATCAATTTAATCTTTCAATCATAAACTCACAAAAATGCAATCGATACTTGACCACTCTTCCAAAATATATCTGGAGCTGTCCGGCGACCGTTTGCGACGGTCTCATAAGGGCACGACAACATGCAAATAAACAGTCCCTTTAAAGTGAAAATAATATCATATAGAGTCATGAATCCACACATTCTCACTTAGGACGTGACATATGTTATATTTGGGATTACACTTTCTCCGTAAACCACAAAATCTAGTAATTTTTGCTTTGAGTCTCACCCGGGATTCGAACTCACGCTGTCAGAGTGAGGAACAGAACTGGTGAGGCCAGATTATCCGCAGCTAAGTACACTGTCTAGCAAGACAATCAACATGCACAGAAACATCAGATGTGCCTATCACTTGTGAGTTAATGAACTGAACGCTCTATTAGGCTAATAACTAACTTTAAATGAATGAATGAATGAATGAATGATTGATTGATTGAATGAATGAAATAAGTAAGGAAGGAAGGAAGGACGAAAGGAAGGAAGGACATAAGTAAGTAAGTATAAAGCACAACTACGACAACGGACTTATTTACATAGAACGCATATAAAATGTTGTACCGTAAAATAAGAAGTAGACTTCTCCTTTTGACAATTCTAACATTGTTATTGTTGCTGCTTCCAGACTGGCATCATTAGTAAATGGTAAATGTTTTATCTTTAAAGGTAGATCAGCGTCCGTAGAGCTGAGGCGAAATGGACAAAGGGTCCGCTATCTGACCAATGAACCAGAGTACAGCTATGACCAGCCTCTCTACTTCAAGTGAGACCTTATTAGCTTTGAGAATCAGGAATTGAACTGTTTCACATGAACCAATGTCTTGGGAGATAATTAAACGGTTTTGATTGTTGGATTCGGTGACTGCTGACATCATTGTATCACGTGATCGTTACTCATAATATCGATGACTTGATTTTCTTGTACGGACTCGATTATTTACAGACCACTGTCATATAATTGAACAACTGCTTGGGTAAAACAATAAATAGTCATCGTCAGCCGTAACACAATTGGGTTGTAACGACCAGCATATTTACTGAAATTCTGAATTGCTACATACACATGTATTTTCTTACCTCATACTTTTTATCGCTACAGCTATGACGAGCCAGTTGAGCTTCTTCCTGGAGACAACTTAGTGACCACCTGCAAATTCGAATCAACGTATAAGAAGAACTGGGTATTCTATGGCGATGGAACATCAGATGAAATGTGCTTTGGGTTCCTTTGGTACTACCCAGAACATGCTCTGAAGAATGGCATGTGTGTGTCGTGGAATAACATCAATATTTGTGGGCGTGAGAGCCTCATTGAGGAGAACTGCAACGTCTGGGAATTTGTATTTCAAGTCGATGCTGAGTCTAAGGCGCTCTTCAAGGCCGTGACCGTCAACTGTAATCTCCTGTCCGATTTGTGCACTCCCGAATGCAAGATGGCGGTGATGGACATCCTGAAACACCCTTGCTTAAGTGGAGGCGATGTCTCAGACTATGTCAGAAGACTCATGCGTAGATCCAAAGAAGGGCTGGAGTTCCTCGGCAAGCTGGCAATGTGTGATGTGAATAAGAATGACTTTAACTATCCCCACACCGGTGGCGCAGGAACCCATGTGGCCTCCCTGACCTTGATCTTCCTCGCGGTGATCATGGCTTAGATTCATAAGACACGTTGAGGTTTTAATCCTTTCCAAACCTGTGACCTCGACAAAGTTTTGGCTTTTTCCATTTTTTAGTCTTTTCTAAAATGTTGGCTTGCATTTAAAGTCAGATGTAGTACTATTCTCGATGTATGGCAGTGTTAATGAAAATACCCCGAAAACCCGGGCCCAAGTAGTCAAAATCTTTCTGATATTGGACAATTATTAAACGCTTGGATTGGCAGTTTTTGGAGAAAAAAACTCCCAGAAGCTTCAGAAATGCATGATGGTATACTTAAAATGTACTATAAATATTAGCAAATCAATGTCTTAGATGATGCGTTTAGTTTGGTGATTGTACTCAAGACGGCATAATCACAGTTTTAATTAACGATGATATTTTGTAGTAAAAATAGTAAACAGGGAATCTTAGATGTCATTTCTGAACATTTATAGTACTATTTACATCTATTCTGATATATCCTTCTTACTGTGCTACCGGTGAGGTAACCTGGAGGTTAAGGCGTTGGTTTGTCTTGCTTCGCGATGCGGGTTTCGAGCCCTACATGGTTGTAATGTGTGAAGCGCACAGAGTTTATCATTGTTTATTACTACTACAGCTACTACTACTACTACTACTATTATTATTACTACTACTACTACTACCAGTACTACTACTACTACTACTACTATTATTATTACTACTTCTACTACCACTACTACTACTACCACTACTACTATTACTACTACTACTACTACTTCGAAGATGATTACTACAACTACTGCAACAACAACAACAACTACGACGACTACTACTACCTATTCCAAGTTTCATCCATATGTCTTTGTTTTTCGGTTCTTTTGAATAAAAGTACATATTTTTTATATTATTAAGCAATTCCTTTACACACTTTGAATAAATAATGTTAACGTACATAGTCTACATTTTGTTGACAGTTTGCCATTCTCTACTCCAGTGTCGTCCTATTGCTACACTCAGCAATATTTTAGCCATACACCCGCGGCCTGTCGAATCTGGACCAGACAAACCATCAACGTGATGAACAACGTTTGTGATAGATGACAACAATCAGACTGCTCATGATGAGGAGTGTGGGTAGCCTCGTAGTTAAAGCGTTCGTCCGTCACTACGAAGACCCGGGTTCGATTCCCACATTTTTTCAATGTGGTGTCCCCTGTCGTGATATTGCTCGAATATTGCTGAAGACGACGTAAAACGTAACTCACTCACTCACTAGTGTTACTTTAATCATCTACCGGGGATATACCGGTCGGCCAGCTTGTGTTCTTCTGACATTATCAACAAGTAATATGGAATGTGGTCTTGTGCATAGAGCTCAGGTCACAAATCAGGTGATGTTAAGCAACGTTGGTCACGGACAGTCCTTGGATGGGTGACCGTTTTCAGCAGCTTGACTCCTGTGAGCTTCTATGACTTCAGTCCTGTCCCACAACAAAGCATACGTGACACATGTGGTTTAACCTAAGGCAAGTGAGTTTGTTTATAATTGCCTCAGCAGTGAATGGGTACCCGGTCGGATAAGTCATATAACTGTTCACCTTCTAGTGCCATACAGGCAGTTTGGCTTATCCGGGGTAATAATGCGACTTGAGCATGGTCATGGTCGTACCATGTATGGACCTCCGAGTCAAAGCCACAGGCATGGCGAAGACGATAGTATCATGTTGTTTAAGATATGCTGTTTGTGCCAAGGAAGGACATCCCCTGACAAGGTGTTGGACAGTCTCTGTATTTTCATTGCACAATCGACAATTTCATATTGATATTTTCTTTAAGACTCACCTATAGGCGACTGCGAGTGGGAAGTGACTGGTCATGGACAGCAAAAAGAAAGCCCTCTGTTTCACATTTAAGACCAGCCGACTTCATCCAGGCGAAGGAGTCGGTGGAATTGCTGTTCTGCTCCACTCACTGGCTATACAGGCGATGCAATGGCGTCTCAGAAAACGTTTCCACAAATGACCGACTCTGGGCAGACTTGGTGAAGGACTTCACCTGGTTTACTCCTATCGCTGTACCGTCCAGCAATACATCGCCATCAACAAAATCAACATCAAATTTCAGATTCTGTCCTTAAAATAGCTGTGGAATTCCTTGTTTTCACCTTGAGTCTTGACATGCATCACCAAAGGATCATCCGTACACAATACACAATAACATTCTATCATGAAGAGCTTCCACATTAATCAAACCTCCCGAACTGATTGGCATATATAAATGATTAAGAGAGGAATGATGGTGGTGGGCTCTGTTATCAGACATGTTCTTCTGGTCAGGCGGTCAAGACTCTGGATGTCTTGTTTTGTCCAATCAATTACTCCAAAGGAATAAGAAAGGATTGACACAGCTAGCCTACTGGTGGCTTGGACCTTGTTTCGAGCATTTAGCTCTGAGTTCCACATTTATACTCTGCCCTAAGTTTTTCTTGAATCTGGGCTTTCTGTAGCTTGTCTCGAACTTGCATTCCAAGATGGGTGTAGGCCTAAACTTCCACACGTTGCTCAATAATTCCTTCCCCCTGTAACTTGACCGATTTATCATTAATTACCTTTCCACGTTTCAAATGAAGTGTATTGCATTTATCGAGTCCAAATGTCATGCTAATATCACAGAAAAGGACTCGACAAGGAAAACAATTGATTATTATTATTGTTATGTTTCTGCGGGAAACACAGAAAAACCCATTTGTCCCACTCCGCCTGACCTATTGTACATAATATTGTGTAAATTCCAAAGCTTTGATATATATCTGAGGCCCCGACCAAACAGTTTGTGCGTTATGTAAATACCTTGCAGCATTTCCCACGGAATCTTACTGGCAAAATGCCCGCCTTCTCTCCAAGTGTTTGGCTATACATGAAAGAATATTTTTTACTTAAACTTAATTTGTTTGAAGACATACGGACGCTTAGAGCGTATTTACTTTTCAAACATTTTTCTGAGAGGAATTTTATAAAGACGCCATGGGGTATTGTTAACGATAGTACATGTACACTGATCACAGAGATAGTGAAGAAAAGGGTTTTGTGGCTTTTATATCCGATTGTGGTACCATCACTGATTTATTAGTCTGGATCAATACCTTCTTAGTCAGTCAAATGTTTGAACTGATCACCAGTGCCAGTCTATCTTGTTGGCTAATGTTCATAATAGTTAAGATAATTGATTTTGAAACAACGAAGGTTCACTTAGCTCCATTTGACCGTATATAAATACAAAATTTTTGAAACTAGGTCTGCTTTTTCTTTACAAAGACATATTGGAATACATGTACATAAATTTGTCATACATTTTGCATACGCACAAGCAAGAACGCAACATCCTTAGCCGGACAGTCAGACAACCGGACGTGCGGGATGGTCGGAGCAGGACAGCATTGTTACGCTCTTCCTGTCAAAGAATACGAAAATTGTCAGAGGTCATGGATCGATTGGGTAGCCTTGTGGTTATAGCGTTCGCTCATCACGCCACAAACCTGGGTTTGATTCCCACATGGGTATAACCTGTGAAGCGCATTTCTAGCGTTCTTCGCCATAATATTGCTGGAGTATTGCTAAAACCATACATATATCTCATTTTTTACCTATGACAAGAAGGCGTTCATGATACCAACTTCGATATCACGTTGTAAAGGCGCTGATATATTTACACCGTTGTCCAGCAATTCGCAACTTCTAAGAAATCACAATCAAAGGATTCGGTATTTTTTCGTAATTTTACAACCTAAACTTTATTTTTCTGTTCACAAATAGCAGATTCACATAAATGCATTAATGTGGTACAGACTAATTGCCTCTCCTTTCAACTGACAAAACGTCAACTGTCGAAACAGTAATTGTGCGAATAATTCCAGCTAATAATTCTACCGTTGTGTTACATCAACGCTCACGTGAATCTGACGGGGTACTGGTAGTTGTATATTATGTAGGAAATGTATTATGACTGACTGACTGAGTTTTGGTTTTACGCCGCGCTTAGCAATATTCCAGCAACATCACGGCGGGGGACACCAGAAATGGGCTTCACACATTGTACCCAAGTGGGGATTCGAACCCGGGTCTTCGGCGTGACGAGCCAACGCTTTAACCATTAGGCTACCCCACCGCCCCAGATCCTAATGAAGATATCAGTCGTTATTGGTTCGTTTAAATTTTGTGTGGAACGAACATGGCTTGACAAAATATTTAATGTCTCACTGAAAATCCGTGTTTTGAGAAAAGGTAAAACGTCATACTTTGCCGGTAGAATTCACGAAGACACCTGTTCACAGAAGGTGCTCTTTGTGAGTGACTTAGTTCGTATTTAAATACAAGTAGAAATATTGTTGAGTTCTCAGAAAACCAAATCATTATAAAAAGTCACATTAAGTTCTTGTTATTCTAAAACTTCACGAGACCCTTTAAGATCCGCGGTAGAATTGGTCTTGAGCAACCCATACTTGTCGTAAGTCAGCTGGTTTTAAATTTCATTGCACAATCGACATTTCATGCAAATATTTTCATTTAGATTCACTAAATGAAAATATTTGCATGGAATGTCGATTGTGCAATGAATTTACAGAGACTGCCAAACAACTTGTTCGATGCCCTTCCTTGGCACAAAAAGCACACCTTAAAAAAACATGATGGCATGGCTCGCTGCTTGTTTCAACATCGCCATTAAGCTACCTCATAGTCCCTCATCATGAGCAGTCCGTTTGTTGAGTGGGTGTCATCATTCACAGACGTTCATCACGTTGATGGTTAATCTGTATTACTGAACTATTGCTGAGTGTGGCAATAGGACGACTCTGGAGTAGAGAATGGCAAACTGTCAAGAAAATATAGACCATGTGCGTTAACATTCTTTATTCAAAGTGTGCAAAGGAATTGCTTAATAATATACAACCCATCAAAAGTTTAGACTCACTAGTGTAAATGTAGCCACTAATTTCAGTCAACTGTTATAAACCAGACTTTGTAAAATATTCCATACTGTTTAAAGGTACTGTTTACACATGAACTGATGTATTGTAAACAAGTTCGTAACGTTGAAAAGATTATTGTCATGAGTTCAGTAAATGATGAAACTCGGTGAAAATGGGCGAATTCTTAACAAAACTTTACACCAAAACGCAGCTGTTCACATGCACGATATTTACACATGCTTTTCAGCAATTTGATGCATGATCCTCATAAGGTTTGCAGTTGGTTCCCCCAAGTTAGGGGAGAAATTTATCTTCGATGTAACCACATATATATACATAACATATAGTGAATGCTTTCACTGAGTCTAAACTTTGATGGATGGTATATAAAAAATATGTACATTTATTCAAAAGAACCGAAAAACAAAGACGTATGGATGAAACATTTGGAATAGGTAGTTGTAGTCGTCGTCGTTTTAGCAATGTTCCAGCAATATTACGGCGGGGGACATCAGAAATGTGTGTGTGTGTGTGTGTGTGCGTGTGCGTGTGTGCGTGTGTATGTGTGTGCGTGTGCGTGTGCGTGTGCGTGTGTGTGTGCGCGCGCGTGCGCGCGCGCGATTGGGGTAGTCGAGTTTCAAATATTACAACCATGTAAGACTCGAAGCAAGACAAACCGACGCCTTAACCTCCAGGTTACGTCACCGACAGTACAGAAAGAAGGATACATCAGAATAGGTGTAAATAGTACTATGTGTAGATATGACATCTAAGATTCCCTGTTCACTCATTTTGTAACTGAACAGTATGTTTATGTTCACACACAAATATATGAATATATATATTTATATATATGTGTGTGTGTGTGTGATGTGTATAAGTGCTTGATACATCTATTGTATGCATGTACAGTGAATTAGGAATGATGATGGATCAAACAATTATTATCAATATAATGCAAAATAGAATCTTTGTTGATTTAAACCTCGATTACAATCACTAAACTTAAAAGCATCATGTGAGACACTGATTTGCTAATATTTACATGTACATACATTTCAAATATATCATCATGCATTTCAGAAGTTTTTTTCGCCTCCAAAAACTGCCAATCCAAACGTATAATAAGAAATAGTTGGTCTTGACTAAGACTTTCCAAACAGCAAGTGTCCATTATTCGGAATATCTTGAATAATAATAAGAGTACTGTTATAGCGCCTCATCCACGTCACTCAGGGATATGCTTTGAGCACATATAAGAATACTTTGTTTCCGGGGTATTTTCATTGACACTGCCATACACCGAGAATAGTACTATATCTGACTTTAAATGCAAGCTGACATTTTAAAAAAGACTAAATTATAAAAAAGCAAAAACTTTGTCGAGGTCACAGGTTTGGAAAGGATTAAAACCTCAACGTGTCTTATGAATCTAAGCCATGATCACCGCGAGGAAGATCAAGGCCAGGGAGGCCATAAGGGCTCCTGCGCCACCAGTGTGGGGATAGGTAAAGTCATTCTTATTCACATCACATATTGTCATCATGCCGAGGAACTCCAGCCCTTGTTTGGATTGTCGCATGAGATTTCTGACATAGTCTGAGATATCGCCTCCACTTAAGCAAGGGTGTTTCAGGATGTCCATTGCCGCCATCTTGCATTCGGGAGAGCATATATTGGCCAGGAGATTACAGTTGTCTCGTAAGGCGTTTGAGAGCGCCTTCGACTCAGGATCGGATTCAAATAAAAATTCCCAGACGTTGCAGTTCTCCTCAATGAGGCTCTCACCCACACACAAATTGATGCTCTTCCACGACACACACACGCCATGCTTCAGAGCATGTTCTGGGTAGTACCAAAGGAAGCCAAAGCACATTTCATCTGATGTTCCATCGCCGTAGAATACCCATTTATTCTTATACGTCGACTGGTAAGTGCAGGTGGTCACTAAGCTATCTCCAGGAAGAATCTCAACTGGATCGTCATATCTGTAATATATAGAATGAGGGTATTACAATATGTGAGTGAGTGAGTGAGTTCAGTTAGAAGCTGATTTCTGGTGTCTCCTGGCGTGATATTGCTACAATACTGCCAAAAGCGGAGTAAATCTAAACTCACTCGCTCGCTTGGTTTATGCAGATCATTTCAAGACGTGATTCTCAAAGTTAGTAAGGAGGTTCTTACTTGAAGTAGCGAGGATTGTCATAGTTGAACTCAGGTTCATTGGTAAGATATTGGACCCTTTGTCCATTTCGCCTCAGTTCTACGGACGCTGATCTGCCTGTGAAGATAAAACATTTACCTTTTACTAAACATAACAGTTTGTAAGCGGCAACACTCCTAATGATAGCATACCATAAACCAAGTCACGGTGCCTGAGCGCTTGATATATGAAGACGCCTTTTAGCTTTAAGCTCTAGTCTTTTATGATAACCAGTTTCGTACGTTTCACCCACGTGGTATGTATGTACGTCCTTGTACGTTGGTTTTTGCCCCACACTGTGGAGGCACGCCCTGATATTGCTTAAATAGTGATCAACATTTTTCTTTCAGTTTTTTCTGTGTGGCAAAATCAGCTTGAGAATAGTTAAAAAGGAAAGTGTACAGCTTTTTATGTGAGTTCTATGTAAATTGTCACAGTTGTGCTTTATACTTGCTAACTTTATTTAGCGGTGGATACAGTGAACTCTGTGGATTATTCGTTCGTTCGTTCGTTCGTTCGTTCGTTCGTTCGTTCGTTCGTTCGTTCGTTCGTTGTTTGTTTGTCTGTTAGCTAGTTAGTTAACTAGTTAGTTGGCCAATAGAGCGTTCAGTTAATTAACTCACGAGTGATAGTAACAGCCGATGTGTTGTAGATAGTCTTGTCAGCCAGTGTACTTAGCTATCTGTGGTAACAGCGGATGATATGACCTCACCAGTTCTGGGAGCAGAAATTACTAGAATCTGTGCTTTACGGAGAAAGTGTAATTCCAAATATAACATGTCACGTCCTACTCTCCAAATGAAAATGTGTGGATTCATGACTCTATATGATTTTAATTTCACTTTAAAGGGACTGTTTAGGAAGATATTCACAAGGGTGTCTTTATTCACATGTTGGCGTGCCCTTATGAGACCGCCGGACAGCTTCAGATATCTTTTGGGTGAGTGGTCAAGTATCTATTGCATCTTTGTGAGTTTATGATCGAAAGAATAAATTTATACACAGTCTTTACATTCCTTTAATGTTTCAGTTGTGTTTTACCAGAAAATCGCATCCGATATTACATATCTGCCTTAAGGCATGAACCCCTTTTATAATTCAGGGCCCGTGCATTGAAACTTTGTACAGGTATTTTACATGACAATGCGTGACGTACTTGTCGCTTGACATGCGGGTTGTAATTTCATTCTGAAAGATTTTCCTGATTTAAGTTATCCGATTAGGCTGAATGCAGCGATGTCATAATCTAGCACATTAATCCAGAGGGGCTAAGTGGGTTTGGTTTGTTGTTTTACGCCGAACGCAGCAATATTCCAGCTATATGGCGGCGGACTGTAAATAATCGAGTTTAGATCAGCCAATCCAGTGATCAACAGCATGAGTATCGATCTACGCAATTGGGATACTATACCATGTCACAAAGCAAGCCAGCGAGTCTGAGCACCCGAATACTGCTGAGTGCGGTGTTAAACAACCAACCAACCAAGCATTCAGATGTACATTACTTACCTAAATAATGCATATGATTCCCAGCCATTGGGACATAGATGGGCTCTGTCATAAGTTTTCGTGTGCATTCAGATGTACATTCTCCTCTGAACGTGACCTCTGATTGTCCAGGGGGGATTGCTAGGTTCATCTGTCCGAGTGACATGAGTGAGCCATTATTCTTTCGTAAGTTGGGGGTGTAAAAGATCGTCATTCCTGAACTGTCCTTCCAGCCTGACACTTCGTTCGGGTTGTTCCAGTGAAACTGAAAAAGAGTGAAAATGAATATAACACACAGTGGCGAAGGGCGTTGCCGTTAACACTGGGAGGAAAACTAAGATGTGCTGGGTTGGTATGGTTTCACGGGTTCGGAAAGTTGTTGGCAAAGTTTGAAAGAACTGTTGATTTCTTGGTATCGGTGCATGCGTTTGTATAGTTGTTGGCAAGGTTGGAAAGAGCTTGTGATGTGATGGGTTGATATCGTTGCACGCGTTAGAATTGTAATTGGCACTGTTGGAAAAAACCACAATCCACCAGAGCTATTAATTCTACAGCGTATCTTGCTCGACATTAGATATTTCTTGATTATTACAATCCACATGAAAATACAATGAAACGCCATTAATTTGAACCTCCCTTTTGGGAAAATGTATATGTTCTATATATCACTGGAAGTGTGTGAAAGGTTTATCCTCTCTTAGTTTGATTCATTCAAAATGCACACAAAGATCGTAATGGAGCCTGTGTGAACTGCTTATTTGTATGGCACAGAATACGCTGTGTGCAGCTTTAAATAAGCAACAGTGTATATGAAAGAGTGTGAGTGAGTGAGTTGGGTTTTACGCCGCTTTAAGCAATATTCCGGCAATATCACGGCTGGAGGACACCAGAAATGGGCTTCACACATTGTACCCATGTGGGAATCGATCCCGGGTCTTTTGTGTGACGGGAGAACGCTTTAACCACTAGGCTACCTCATATATAGTGAAAGAAATTTGGTCACTAGTACCTCCAGAGCAATCCGAGTGTATTTTGATTTTCCAAAAACTAGTCCAAAGTTATCATTAAGGCATTCTCCAGGAGACCCAACTGTCCAGCTTCCGAGAGCTGCTGTGCATCCCTTTCCAGCATCCATGCCACATTTGTATGGTTCCGTTGGTAGTTCCTCTGCAAACAAAGATATATATAGATATATACAGGTCACCATTTTTAAGGAATTCTAGGAAGGTAATATTTCTGTACCTTTGTTGTTTCACTCAGAGCCACACTCAGCATCAGGACCCAATGGTTGATATTATGAGCAACGTTGGAGAACGATGAAACAATATAACGACGTTACCGACCTTGACCATCCTATCTCTAATGTCGCCACTTACGGCCACTATTCTTTACCTGAATCCCCAGACATTGCAAATCATAAAGAAAATGTTCCTATGTTGTGTTTTTTATAACCATCACTGCATAGCATACACTGCGTGGATTTGGTTTCAATTGAAGGCTGATTCGACTCACCTGATGTGTCAGAGCAGCCGTAGACTACGACGTGATGCATGACGTTGTCGTTGTCGATGAGAGGCTTGCTTCCAATGTAGTGGTAGTCCTGGTCAGAGGGGACGTCGAAGATCATGCAGATGTAGGTGGTGTCCTCGGCGGGCACGTCGGTTTCGGGGAAACGGATCGTGAAGTTCCTCACATCTGTGAAGGTGAGATGACGACTTAAGAACAACACTATGTGCATTATTTGGGTAGGTATTAGAGTGAGTGAGGTTCATCATATCTTTGAAGGCTGAATGAATGAATGAATGAATGAATGAATGAATGAATGAATGAATGAATGAATGAATGAATGAATGACTAAGCATACTTACCTGGCGGGTCCAGATATACAACATACCCTTTTGTTTCACACTTAAATCATGACAACGTGTCAACGATGAAAGCATTGCACATACATTCGGGAATTGAACTGAACGATTTACCTGGTGCGTTGAGAGCATCGCACTCCAGTTCTGACCCTTTACACGAAACCCACGCATTCTTCGCTTGACAGGCAGGGGAGTCAAAAGGGTCACACACACCTGGAATATATAGAAGGTCGTTCTGCATAAACCAAACTGGTATTATATGAACGTGTGCACATGCACAGATGATGAGTTCTATTTTGGGGTGTTATTCAGTCCTCAGCTAATAGTAATGTAGATTTGATGATCATAGTAACTTGAAGCGATTTAAAAGGTACTTATTGTTCAAAGTCACCAAATTCTTGCGAAAAAGATTCAATAGTTGTATTTATCATTGTTCGAAAACGAGATTTGCAGCGATGATAAGCGGATCCTGGCGCATCTAAGGGAGGAGATATATTCTAAAAGACTACAAAATAGTTCCCTGAGAGATAGTTTTACCTGGTAAAACAGATCAGGACTATGGAATCCTAGAAGGGACAATGCCACGTTGTCGCGCTTACAGAAAAGGGCAAAAAGTGTCAAAATTAACCAAAGTACAAGCGACCACGCGACATGTTGGCCTTTTGCGCTGTTTGAAGAATATATTTAATTCAACCATAGGGCGACTATGCGACATACTGAGCATATTTCAAGGTCAAAATATGCCGCGTTGTCGATTTGTCTCCTCGTATGTAAAATAAGCATTAAAATGCGCGACAATGCGACAACGCGATAATGTCCCTTCTAGGATTCCATACAGGACTGATGGCAGTGAAACTGTCTTTTCTATGCCTCAGTAATATTATCGCCTTATCACGGGAACCTGGGCACTTGTAAATAATTTTGACCACTGATTGGGTACTTAATGATCCACTTAGCCGAGAGTATTATGATGTCTTTCAGTGGCATTTAGAAGTTGTACATTGATGTCCAAGATATTTTTATGGATTAAACTTCTTTATAATTTCCCTCACGACGTTTCGAGACCATTCAAGGTCACCTGATGAAGGGACCTGGAATGGTCTCTCGAAACGTCGTGAGGGAAATTATAAAGATTGAAGTTTAATCCATAAATATATCTTGGAAAGCAGAGAGCAGTTGTAACCTATGTTCCCAGAATCACCAACTGCATATCAACACGGATGAAATCAATGTGATTTCTATTGCATACCTGGGTGAGTAATGTCGGTTGTCCGTGACGGGAGGTTACCACTGTCTGCAGTCCACACGCAGTTCGGGTCACCAAGCTCTTGACCGTTGGTCATACCGTCACCATCAGAATCTAAACGGCACAATTCTTGTGTCCACTTAAACCGAATATAAACCATTGTGAACAGAAATATGCTTCAAAGTACATTTTGCGACTGATGGTCAAGAGACGAATAAAGTTTTCTTAGACACAGAACCCTAGTCTTGTGTGTTACCACATAAGGATTTGGATATTTTGCTGAGACGTTTTAAATAGGATAGATCTGTCTTAAAATGCGTTGCGAAATAAGGATATGAACCTTTTGCTCAAGTGGTTTAAGGGGATTCATACATTGTATCCATGTGAGGAATCGAACCCAGGTCTTTGGCGTGACGAGCGAAGGCTTTAACCACAAACGTACCCTACTGATTCCCCACATATGTGGAATGTGGGAAGCCCATTTCTGGTTTGCTTCCCGCCGTGATATTGCTGGTAATATTGCTAAAAGCGCCGTATAACTAAATTCACTCACTCCCTTGAATCCCATCACGGATATGGAGATATTATGACAACTGTCTCACAAAATAGATAAATATTAAATATATATACCATGTGACCTTGAGAAGCGAAGTCTTTGCCAAAGTCGTTTCGGTTTCCTCCACCAAGAGCGTTGATGTGACCCACGCCATGCCAGTAGAAGTTGGCCCGACAGGGATGAGGGACCCGTTCGCCATTCGGAAGGCGCTTCCGGTATTCTCCATAACCCGACACACCACACGCCCCCAGAAGCAGCAGGGAAATTGTCAGTGCCCTGCGGAAACACGAGTGTGGCATTGTATTGGTAGGCAAATAAAAAAAGTAAAATAAAAAAACCCGATAGATAGATAGACAGATAGACAGATAGATAGATAGATAGATAGATAGATAGATAGACGTTGCGATATTTGTAAAGATCATGGCGATAACTCTATATGGAGTCTCAGATATATATGGAGACCTTGATGCTCACGAATGATGTTTGCTAAAGGTTCATGGTGTCTTTGCTCACTACGTTACTACTATAGGATATTCAAACACTGGACATACAGGGTGGAACAAACAGTTCATGTGTGGGTCGTATCAGAATTAAGCATTCCTTCAGTTAAATTTGTTTTTGTTTTTTTAGTTTGGGGTTTGCTGTTTACCGTCGCACTTGACAATAAACCAGCTATTTTGTGTTTTGACAATGATCAGGTAAACTGGTGGTTGATGCAATGAGCAAATCAACACTGACGTGGTAAATCGTTATGTTCCCTATTATGGCCGGCATAGCTGGAATCCTCACGGTGTAAATGGTTAAACTACGATTTGGTTTATTTCTTGTTTAACGACGCACTCAGCAATATTTCATTTATATGGGGGTGGTCTGTATATAAGCGTGTCTGGACCAGACAATCTAGTGATCAACAGTGTGAACATCGATGTACTCAGCTGGGATACGATGACATGTGTCAACCATATCAGCAAGCCTGACTACCCGACCCTGTTAGTCGCCTCATACGACAAGCATGGGTTGTTGAACACCAGCTGTAACCCGGATCTTCACGGGTCCTACCTAGATGGTAGCAATGTGGCAGTAATACGCTGCCATACCTGATATTTGTACATATGGCTCGCATATGCAAGTCGTGTCTGTCCTTCTAGCGTGTACACACTATTCAGCTCAAGTTTTTCGCAAGTATCCTCCTTCAGCCAAGTTGGGTATAAATAGCGCAGCAATTACCTGACGGCTTGTCAAATTAGAACGGGTTTCACATGTTAAACCATAATTATTGTGTAGGTTTACAGGCTACATTTACAGACCATTAAACTCAGATATATCATCTGGGTTTCCCTTTCATGAAAGGAAAGTTTTAGGTCTGTTTGTTGGTTAGCTATTGTGAAGTTATATGGCGGCGGTCAGTAAATAATCGAATCGTGACCAGACAATCCTGTGATTGACATCATCAGCATCGATCTACGCATTTGGGATACGATGACATGCATCAACCAAGTCAGTGACAGTTTGTCAACTTGACAGATCTGTATTGAGAAGATATGGTATTTGACTTATGACTTGTGAATTTGGAGAAACATTAAGCGCTTGACACTTGATTTACGTGTTGCTCCATGGGCATGTTACTCTGCGGTGTAACTCCTTGATATCTGGCACAGGAAGGTGATGGCATATTTCTGGCACAGGCAGGTGATGGCACATTTCTGTCACAGGCAGGTGATGACACATTTCTTGTACAAGCAGGTGATGCAATATCACCGATATTGACAGTGAGTGATGATGGGGCTTTTTTGTAGCTGCTGTTTTTAATTTTGAGTCAGAAATTCTGTTTTGAGGTAATTAAGGGTCATCCATACCCTCATATCAGCTATGCAGGTTTCAATGTTTGGACTCCACTCTGTCTGATGCGGTTCAGTGAATATGCACGACCTGTTTTTTGACATATGGCGAGCTTGACAGAACAGCTCTGCATATACAAGGAGACACACGTATGGTAACATACTGGGCTGGAATATTATCAGGAAAAACACCTAACCTTTCATACTTGTATAAATGGCTTTTTGAAGATTATTACAGAACTTGAACAAGTGGTTTTCTTCATTTAGAACCATCCTTCAGAAAAACCGGTCTTCTGTACCGTTGGATATGTAGACAGTGGCTCCTCAAAATATCTCCAATCGACTGGATGTATGGTCGCTCAAAAGTAGAGGGCCCAGTACTGAACCTTGAGGCACTCCAACAGCAATACATACACACATACCAACATATCAACATACATATCAACATACATATCAACATACATATCAACATACATATCAACATACATACATACAACATACATATCAACATACACATACATACATACATACAACATACATACATACATACATACATACATCAACATACATATCAACATCCATATCAACATCCATATCAACATCCATATCACACATACACACATCAACATACATACACACACACATACATACATACATATCAACATACATATCAACATACATATCAACATACATATCAACATACATATCAACATACATACATACACATACATACATACATACATACATACATACATACATACATACATACATACATACATACATACATACATACATACATACATACATACATACATACATACATACATACATACATAGTGTTCAGTGTTGCAATACGGTTTTTCAACCGGCAACAGCAGAAGTAGCAGAAAACAGTGTACACAGATAAAACACAGAATAAAAGTTTGCTGTGTTGGAACCGTGGGAGTTATTAATCTATACCGACATTTGCAGCGGTGACAGGGATAAAGCAACACTCACCCGCTCATGGCTGTGCCAGTGTAAGAATTGACACACATTCAACCCACCTGTACCCCTTGCACACACGGATCTCGTTGTAGATAACTACAGCCCCGTGAATTAGGTCTGGCAAACATCACGTGACACGAACACACAGGCCACAACTCGGAAACACTCTCTCGTGAGTATTGGGACTCAGACAAGAGGTATTTCAAGCGGAGAGAGACGCTTTTGTTCCGTGATGTCACATTGGCTCTGACTAATACGACATTGCGAAAGTCTTGGTATTACGTTTACCCTATATTTCCCCCTCAGATTGTGTAACAACTTTTAGGTAGTCACATGCTTTTTCGTGATTGAGAAAGGACGACATCTACACATAGAACAAGAAGACAGACTTGTGTACCTAATGTCTACGTTTTGGAATTTCAATTGAATATCACCTTTCGCTTGTATGTGGTGCCTATAAACATCTAAGAAGCATAAATATCATTCTAATCCTCGATACAGTAAATTTATTGAATTGATGTCCTCTGAATGTAAATGCGCACATTTATCATTCTTTATTTTTCTGTATTTAAACAGCATTCATCACAAACCTGCTGTCCACGTATAATTCTTTTTTAAGTGTTGTTTCCAATCAGTATGTAGACATTGTCATTAGCCTATGTTCTGTGGGCTTACTTCAAGAAATAAACATATATATGTTTTGTGGGAAAATGTATGTCAGAGATCAGTCACTGGCTCAGACATTCGAGTTAAGATTTCTTCCGCTCATACAGTGATGAGTGGGTTTAGTTTTACGCCGCACCCAGCAATATTCCAGCTATATGGCGGTGGTCTGAAATTAATCGAGTCTGGACCAGACAATCCAGTGAGCAACAGCATGAGCATCGATCTGCGAAATTGGAAACCGATGACATGTGTCAACCAAGTCAGCGAGCCTGACCATCCGATCCCGTTAGTCGCCTTTACGACAAGCATGGGTTACTGAAGATCAATACTCTAACCCGGACCTTCACGGGTCTCCGCTCATACAACCACCTTCATATTGAAAGTTGGAAACTCCAGACAACAGGGTTGACCATTTGTCGTAAGGTCGCGCTGTCTTAATACTTTGCTTTAAATAATGATGATAACTGAAAAGAGCGACAGTGCGACTCTTTTCAAGTTGAAAATATGTTGCGTGTGAAAAAGCCTAAAATGCACGACACCGTTATACTGGTAATGGCGCGAATTGTCACCCTTTCATTTAATGGTGTGCGCCTACAGGTTTTAACGATTTTTGGCATGCAAATATATGGTAATGCTCGTTTTAAACTCTAGTGTCCTGTATTTGTTCTATTTTTTCTGAAAATAAAACACAGCAGGGAATATGGGTTGCCTGTCTCAGAAAATAGGCTCATTTCGGTATGCGTAAGAGTGAATTTTCCCATGACACAGCCAACCCAGTCCCTCCATATTGACGGTAGGGTAGCCCAGTGGTAAAATCAAAGACCCGGGTTCGATTCCCCACATGGGTACAATGTGTGAAGTCCATTTCTGGTGCCGTGATACTGCTGGTATGTTGCTAAAGGCTAAACTAAACTGTCTCTTACTGTCCCTTCATAGTTCATAAAAAGTTGTTGGAGATGAACGTAAATGAAACATAAAAGCAAACAGTTTTTTAGTGCTGATGAAACTAAACCTTACAACAAGTGAAAGGATTTCTACAGTAACTATGTGTCTATTTTTTACAAGCGAATTTACAAGTGAAAACAAATTCAGTTGACCAATTTGAGAGTTATCCCCGACTTAAAGGGGGACTCACGTGTTAGACGTCAAGTCTACATCAATCTGTTGCTTTTTTAATGACATGCATGAAACATTGTATCTATGTAATTGACTATCCATAAGATTATTAGTCGGTATATAATCATACATATAACAAAATCAGATTGAGACTCACCCTCAGTGAATCAGTTTTACGTCGCTTTTAGCAATATTCCAGCAATATCAAGGCGGGGGACACCAGAAATGAGCTTCACACATTGTACCTATGTCTGGAATCGAACCCGGGTCTTCGGCGTCATGAGCAAACGCTTTAACCACTAGGCTAGCATACCGTCCCCCTTTCATGAAGAGAAGGAGTCGGATTAGAACCGACGCAATTTAGGGTATGTTGGTGATGGGATCACCGCGGGGCAGACTAATGTAACAATGCCGTTTAATGGTTACCGTTCAATGTAACTACAGAGCAGCGAGTGTCGGGTGTTAGATCACATCCCCTTGAAGTAGGTTTGATAAAGAGGTGACTGAGGGTTCTCCATATTTGCTGGCATACTTGCATTTCTAAAACAGACTAAATCCCCCATTGTTCTAAGGATTAGTACGGCCCACTGGTTTTACTCCCTAAACAATATCTGCAGGCAAAAAGAGAACACGCCGTTATACATTACTGACGTAATGTGTTTGGTAATGATTTGGTTTTCTAAGAACACAATAGTAATTTTACTTGTATACGAAATAAGTAATATTATAACTCACGAGGAGCACATTCTGAGAACAACCGGTATATTAATGAATGCTACCGGCAAAATTGGACAATTAAAGTTTTCTCAAAGGACGGATTAAATACGAACTCGAACCAAGTAACTCCCAATTGACACCTTGTACTTGTGAGAACAAAAGATGTCTTAATAAATTCCATCGACTTACCAGGACATTTTACCCTTTTCTCAAAACACTGGTTTTCAATGAGACATTCATATTTTGTGAGGACTATTTCACCCCTATACAGAATGTAAATCAATAAAGACTAGTATATTCATGAGGATCTAATATGATGCATTTTCATAGACAATATACCAGTATCCAGGCAGATTCACATGAGCGTTGATGTAACACAACTGTATAACTCTTGACGATCTGTGTGTTATAACGATCCGATTCAACAGAACAAAATTTCAAAATTTTACTCACCCAGTCATTTGTGCGGTATTAAACGAATGATCACAACATACAACCTGCACCTCTATATATGATTACGACTCATGCTAATCACGTGGTCAACTGTGACAATCGCGCCAGACCTTAATGTAAAACGTATTTGGCATGTTGTTCCGGTACTGAGCCGGATTTTGTTGAAGACGATATTCTTGAATATGTAGATAATGATAACTCTACAGTGTATCAGTTCCTACTCGACGTACGAGCTTCATCAGACAAAGTGTTAAACAACTTTAGAAAATGTTTGATCAATTTATGTAGTGTCATAAATATACATTTTCTGAATGGAAGATGTGGGTCAGTCTCAGAGGTTGGTGACTGCACGTTTATTGGCAATCAAGGTGCAAGCGTCGTACATTACGTAATCTGTTCAGCTAGATTGTTTGAGGTATGCTGTAATTGTAGCATAGTGTCACGCACTGGATCGTCACATCTCCCCGTCATGGCTAGCTTACCTACGCTCTGTACAGAGTGAGCCCGTGCAAGCTGACCATTGTAATGAGCAAGACTTGCTTTATTAGACTGACTGACTGAGTTTGCTTTTAGCAATATTCCAACGATACGGCGGGGACACCAATTTATGTGAGGACTTGTTGAGCAACGAGTGTGTTTCTTTATTAGAAAAGACTGTTGGCGAAGTGCTACACAATATAGACAACAGTGTTAATTACATGTCAGAGGCCTTATACACGGCAGCAAGTGATATGAAAAGAGTGTGTTCTTCTAATAAGTCTAGCCAACAGTGGTTTGACCATGAATGTGAGCTACTATAAAAAGAAATATGTAAATATTTAAACAATTTTAGGAGGAAAAAAGGATAATATTACTCTCTACATGAATACGATATTAGTAGAAATGATTTAAACAGTATTTTATTTCCATTAATGTTTACATTTTTCATAATACACGACATAACAAAATGGAAATAGGATTAGCAAACAGGCCATATGGCCTATGTCAATGCTTCTCCGCATATAGTTCGTTATTATCTTGACTTAATTAATTCTATGGAGCAGACATTAGGACATTAATGAATGAATCAAACCAAATAAAAATAAAGAAAAGAAAAGAAAGAACAAGATACCAAGTGCATTTTATGTATATAGGTTGTTACTTGAATTCCGTTAAGCGGTTGACGAAATGAATATAACAGTGTATGCAGAGAAAAGAAAGGGAAGCAGGAAAAACTCGAACATTGTGTACGCGATTCTAAGCAGTTTGGGGCCACTCTTAAAGGGCTGAATACTAATTGTTGTTCACGAAACAATATACCAATCGAGGATTGGTTTTATCATTTCAAGGAACTATTTTCAACCTCTACAGGGAACAAGGAGAGTTTTTGTGTTACCTGTGAATTGAATGAATTTGATAAGTAGTTTTGCCAATTAACTTCAGAGATTCTTGATTCGCCTATAGCAAGAAATGACATTTCAGAAAGTATTGCAAATTTAAATAGTAATAAATCTGCCGGAGAAGTTAACTTGATTCCTGAATTCTTCAAATATTCATCCGAAATCTCCCTTCCCTACCTTGAAATTCTTTATAACGTTATGCTTGAAAAGTCTTACTTTCCAGATCCATGGACTTTGGGGATATAATTCCCTTGCACAAACAGAGATCAACTAATGACACCAACAATTATAGGAGTATAACTCTTTTGAGTGTTTTCAGTAAGATTTTTACCAGTATTATACACAGACTTTAGCATATTGGGCCGATTCCTTTGATAAGATAGATGAAGCACAGGCCGGTTTCAGGCACAGGTACTCTACAACTGATAATGTATTTATTTTGCAGACACTTGTGCAGAAATATTTTCACGATAGGGAGAGAAAATGTATGCCATATTTGTATATTTTGCTAAAGCGTTCGACTCCGTTAACAGAAACATGCTGTGGTCCCTTTGTTAATTTCAAGGTATCAGTACTAAAATTGGTAAATTATTATACTGCATATATCACAACGTCAGGGCTTGTGTTCAAACAATAACAACCTATCTGATTCCTTCTGCTGTAACTTTGGGTAAGACAAGGGTGTATACTGAGTCCATTTCTGTTTTCGTTCTTCATCAATGAAGTATCGCTACAAATATATGAAAACTGTAACGAGGGCATCCAATTACATCCAGAAACTATGAAGCCTTTTCTACTCTTTT